AAAATAACGAGTTCCTAATGGTCCCGTGGCCGCAGTAGGTTATTTTTGTTCGTGATTCAACTTGAGCGCCTTCTGCTGAAGATTACAGTGCCAGTGAGAAATGCTGGATGAGGTCTGTGGGGCGTTTCCTCCATTTTTCTGGAGAAAGATGAACGCTGATCCTCCTGGATTAACAAGGCGAGAGGAAGGAGAAATTAATCCCTAGCGCAGGGTCTCGGTGGTCCCGTGGCCGCAGTAGGTTATTTTTGTTCGTGATTCAACTTGAGCGCCTTCTGCTGAAGATTACAGTGCCAGTGAGAAATGCTGGATGAGGTCTGTGGGGCGTTTCCTCCATTTTTCTGGAGAAAGATGAACGCTGATCCTCCTGGATTAACAAGGCGAGAGGAAGGAGAAATTAATCCCTAGCGCAGGGTCTCGGCCTCTGAAGTTCAATTGCACTGAATTGGTAAAAATAATTTAAACCCAAGGCAAGGATCTGGGACAACAGTTGCCTAAACCCTGTCAGCCACTGCCCTAACCCCAGTTCTGTGATTGCAGTTACCGCGGAGAGCGGCACACTTAGCAGAAATTAGTTTGGGTTTCCTTTGTGGCTTCTTATGAACTTCTGAATGTGTTTTCAAGTCTTCACAGGAACATCTCCCTGAGATGGTTATCGTGTCCTGGGAGGATGAGTTAAGGTACTCCAGCACTTGCTTGTTTCTGCTGTAGGTTATGCTGCTGGTAATGCCTGGAACCCGAGGAGCAGAGCACTGTGGGGCTGGAGAGTACTTAGCCGAATTTCACTGCTGTGTATCTTGTCCAGCAGGTAAGACCTCTAGCAGTTACAGCTGATACCGGACATGGTTTTTTCCCTGCCCTGGAGGTGTCTGTGTCACTGTTGGTTTTTACATTAAATCTCGTGAATGTGTAAGCCTGGTCAGAGCTGTGGCAGCTTCTTGGTGCTGTTAAGGCAAGGCTCTGTTTTGAAGCCCCTTCGAAATAGGTGATGACTCGGAGATGTGCCTTGGCAACTAGCCAGGAAACCTCTGCATGCTGCTGCCAAGGACAAAGTGTTCCAAGTCAGGTTTTTCTGTGGTATGTTTTGTTTGTTGGGGGTTTATGGGTTTTGTTAATTTTGGTGGGGGTGGGTTTTGTGGGTTTTCTTTTTTTCTTTTACTCTTTTTTTTTTTTCTTCTTCTTAAAGAAAGGGGCCTTGTGGAATTCTGATATTTCTGTATCTGCAGGTAAAACTTTGGTTTGCCTTTGCTTCCCCCTCCTTGCTCAATGTGTGCAGAGTTCACAAGCTCTGTGCCAAGAAGCACACTGCCCTTACTGCACCGAGGGGGCTATTGGGTGTATTTAGAGATCTGTCAGGCGAAGGAGAAGAGAGGGAGTTACAGTCAATTCTCCATGTGCTCCTTCAGGGACAATGGCGCTGGCTATGGATGACACTGACTACGCGTCATTCTAGTCCGTACATGTGTCCCAGCAGAGGCCTGGCTGGATGCCTTGTTTGCCGCCACTCCCTGTCTGAGTGTGCCTCCTGACCCTGCTGTGCTGCTCACTTCATATGGCACACTGCTTGCTTGCGAGGAGGGGGCTGAACTTCCATAAAAAATGGCTTTGTGTTGTAACATCCTGTTGCAGTCCTTTGCCAGTGAAATGATCCCTTGAGACCACTGTTGCTGCCGATTCTCCTCTTCCACAGGTACTTACGTCGCTCAGCACTGCAGTACTCCGCATTCGAGAGGAGTATGTGTACCTTGCACCGAAGGAGTGGATTATACTGCCCATGAGAACGGCTTGGAAGAATGCTTGTCATGCAGACAGTGCAAAGATGGTACCAAAATCAACTTTGAAACCTTAACCCCTTTTTTTAATGTGGGAAGCCTGGTCCTATTTTTTTTATTTTTTTTTTTTTTTGTTTTGGTTGTTTTTTTTTTTTTCTCTTTTGCACTTCCAGCCATCAAGAATATTGAACTTATAAATTGCCTTTATGGCCCGGGTATAATTTTTACACAGTTGTAAAGAGCCACAACTTTTGTAACTTGTATTTTATTTTTAGATCAGACGATTTTGAGACCCTGTACTCCAACACATGATACTGAATGCCGATGCAAACAAGGGTATTTCTGCCCTGCCGAGGGCTGTGAAATATGTCATAAATGCAGTACAATGTAAGTTTAATGAATGAAAGTGACTGGTTTCCTTCTAAGGAATGTTTAGAGGTGTGGCCCAATCTGTGCCAATACCTAACACGTTATTAGGCAGTAAATAATTGCCCTGAAGCCAAATGGCATTATTCATGCATTTAAATTTTAGATGTCAGAATATGTGAGGGTGAGGCCTAGAATGATACAGATTTTGGTATTGTGGTGCTTGTTGCTTATGGCTGTAATCTTACATTTTTCATGTTTTCAGATTATTGCTGTCCCACATACACAACTGAACGAGCTTTGTAGCAGCCAGTCCAAAATTTCAGGAGGTAGAACCACCTGTTGAAGGAAACTAATTGTGCATGAATAATGTATCTACTTTGTGGGGGTTTTCCCTGCCCCTTAGAGGCTAAGACACATGAGCTTTATCTGGTTTGCTTCTATTTAATCTTGTAGTATTATCTTGGGTTGCTTAAAGGTACACTTCTAACAAAGTTATCTGTTTATACGTGTTCTCTTCATGTCTCTTAAGCTCTGCCCAAAAAAGACTGGGCCTGGGCAGAGCTGCATATTGCTCTGGAAATCTAGATACAATCCTGTGTTGCCATCCACTTCAGGTGTCCGGAAGGGAAAGAAATTGTGCAGACTTGCAATGCTACTATGGACCTAGGATGTGGCTTACCTGATCAAGGTCTGGTATACAAATACCACTTGGCTTGGTTTGTTGGGTTGCTGGCTTCAAGCTAATGACACCAGAGCAGCCTATAAAACAGTGGTTGTACTACTGTGACGTATTTAGGAGCTTCTGTATTTTGCTTTGGGAATTGCTTGCTAACGACAAGTTCTCAAAGAGGCTGGTGTGACAAACCATCCTAAACCTTACTCTGAAAAGCTGCGTGTATTGTCAGGGTTTTCAAAGTTGCAACAGTGGCATTGTTGAAAGTTATGGGTAGTGCAAAGACTTCTTTGTTTTCTATGTCTGAGAAGCTGTGTATGGAGTGGCTTTCCCTCCTGCTGCTGGATAGCTTTTGCCACACTAAAGAAGGAATTGATGCTACCAGCACTCCAGCACCTGAAGCTTGCTGCCATCTTTCGTGTACTTATTTTCCCCCTTTTCTTAAATGTCTCTTCAGGAAGCCTCATAGAAGTTGTATCACAGCTCTGTACAAAGTCCCCCATTGCTTTGGAATAATGATGTGTGATGTACTTGCGTGTTCCAGGCAGCCGATAGTCCCAGTGCCTTTTCCAGTATGAGCTATTGTACTAGTGCTGAGCTTGGTCTGTTCTTTAGGACAGTAGGGAAGACTTGGGCTTCAGAATATCTTGTTTGGAGACTACTTCAGTACTGATTTTTATTCCTTTTTCCTTTGCAGGAAGCACAGCTCATCTTTGGATTCTTATTGTGATAAGCTTGGTTGCTCTTGGTTTTTTGCTGTTCTGTCTGCATAGACAGCTAAAGTCTAATAAAGGTAACTGCTTGATTACTATTCACAAGCTTGCCAGAACTAGGCAAAGCATGCACTAGGGCTGTCTCAGGCTTTTGCGTTGTGTTATATTGGACCAGTTTAAGCTCTAGTTCATTTAGTATGCAATTTAATTAACTCTCATACAATGGTGACTTGCTTTGCTCAGTAAATGAAATACATAAACTTTAACTGTGAGCTTTCTTTCTTTGTTGACAGATGCCTTTGCTTCAAAGCAAGATCAGCATAACATCCTTAAAAGGACTTTTCCTATCTACTTGTACTGTGTTGGCAAAGAGGAAGAAAAATCTGGGCAGAAGCTCAGATGTATGAGAGGAAAAAAATTGAAACCAATTAGATCATTAACCCCTTTGATTTTTCTGTATTTGGCTGTGGAGATTACACACACACAAATTGTTGCCCTTTCATTGTTTGGGCCTCTTAGCATGAATATTAGGCTGATAAAGTCCTGTGTGAATTAATTATTTTTTTTCTTGTGGAAATAGAAGTTTTTCTGAGAAACTTCTACTGCATATTAAAGTGTTTTTGTAACTAGTTTAGTTAGAATTATGTGGAAAGTTATTCTGAATTTTGAATGTTAACTTATTCAAATTATGTCTTACTGATGGTATTACAGTACAGACAATTTCTGCCTTCTCTCTTGTATTGCAATAGCCCACAAAAATGCTAAGAAACATAAGTTGGATGTGGGAGAGGTGGAGAGCGGGGAGGAACGGAAGTGTGGCTTAAAAACCCAACTGCATCATGTGGTCTGTATTTTACCAAGTGGGACACTTTATCCCCTGTATGAAGGCACAGTGTTTATGCTGTTGATGGAAGCTAAGGGTAGTACTCATGAAGTGTATGATAGACGAGGAAAACTAAATGGCTTGTATTAGAGCTTTTTTGTGTTTGTGTTACAAATGTGTCTAGTGCATAGGAATCTTGTGTGACTTCAGCTATGGTTAAGTTGCTGCAATTCCTAAAAGTTTCTTAGACGCTTATCTTGTTTTTTTCCAGCTGCTTCAACTGATAAAGATGCAGAGAAAGGTCTGGTAAGTATGTGATGGATCAAGCGTTTCATCTCAGTTTTGTGCAACTTAATTGTACCTGATACACAGCTCTCTCAATTTTTTTTTTGTCTCGCTGTAGACCTCTGGTAGGATGCATTCCTGGATGCAACAAGCTGTGAGTCACACAGGGCCAGAAGTTAGCAAGGGCCTGATGAGTTCATTAGCTGCATGTGCCCACTGCAGTTTACCTTTCCAGTACTTCCCTTGGAAACATTCCAGAGCCTGTGCCCAGGGTATTTTGAAACTGGAAAAAAAATAGGCTAAGTGCAACCTTTCACTTCAAACTGTCTCCAGCTGATGCCTTGATCCAATTTAGCCCTTTGCTGCTTCACTTGTATATGCCCCAGGCAACATCAGCTATCACTTGCCTGTGTGGTGTTCTAGCTTCTCTTGCATTTTGACTACGATGTTATTTGTTCATAAGACTGACTTCTCTTGATCCAGTGAAGTGACTGAGTCTTTCTGCCTTTGGGCTTATGCTATAAGCTACAGACCAGGACCTGGTGGTTTGACTTCTTGGTCCTAGAGAGTCCATAAGACAAGGAGTTCAGGGCTCTGAGCATATCAGTTCAGAAGTACATCCCTGACAAGGGTTTACCAAGCTAGGGCTGGCTGCTGGCATATGTTCTACTTTAAAGCTAGGTTCAGCCTGGCCTCCTGCAGACAAACATTATTTCAGAACCTTACTGTTTCAGTCTAAAGATTATTTCCAGTCTAGCACTTTGCAAGACAAATACATGACTAGCTTGTGTGTAGTTAGTCTATCCAGAGGCTACAATCCCAACAGCACAGTAAGGCAAAAATGAGCTCAGTCTTCACTAGTATACTTAATGATGTGTAACACCAAGCTGTGAAACATTTGTCCTGGTGGAGGGTCTATAGAAAAGCATCCAGATTCCTATGGTAGTATGTGTAAAGCACCTTCTCCTGTTGCCTTTCTTGTCCACCGTCCAATGCATGCATTAGTCACTTCATGTGTGAGCTCTTGTCTAATCTTACTAGTTAGACATTTCAAGTAATGCTGCTTAATTACACCAAAAATACTCAAAGACCGAGGAAATGGAATTGAGAGAAGTTAAAAACATTACTTTAAACTCTTCCTTTTTTTAAAGGTTCATAAGTGACTCAAATACATGAATCACCAATGGGTTTTTGTTGTCTCTTCCCCCACAAACTGGCCAGATCTGCAGTGTTTCATGTATTTGTAGAAGCTGATGAAGAAATGTGACAGAAAACCTGGTCAAAATGCTGTAGCATAGGAATAGGCAAATCTAACACCTCTTTAATCTGAATAAAAAAGTGGTAGTAAAATAATACAGTCACAAATTGATGTATCATGCTGCTTAGCTCTGATGTAAGAGTTGTCACAGACTTGAGTTGCAATGCCTACCCACTTGGAGTGTTCATGTTACTGTAACAAAGCTTGTTTGCCAAGGAGAGTTACACTGATGCAATCCTCAGACCAGGTGTTTGGCACCAACACACTGTCCTTTCCGAAGTACCAGTGAATTTATACTGTTGTTTAAAAACAACCAAACAAACCCCAAACCTACTGCTGATAGTTTATTTCATTCTAAAATAGAGCAGCAGCTATTAGTCGGCCATGCTGTGTGCCTTCAGTTGCTCAGTTACCTATTTAAGAACTACACTGTATAAATAGGATCTACTCGCTTAACCTGTTTGCACCCTTACACAAACTGGATACAACAACAATGATGTGCAACTGCATGTGTGATGCATGGGGTGGTTCCCCTCACATCCCTGCTTATGTCTGTTGGTGTCACTCATGGGTGAGTGACCTTGTGCAAACAGAAATCACACTGGCTTATGCTCATGTGGAACTGTACCTTAAGCACAAGTCCATTGGAACAATGGTCACTCCTTCCCCTCATTTTCTACATTAAAAAAAATAAAAAATTCCTGAAGCTTTCCAGTTTTAACACTAGCTTATATGATAGATATATGGTGGTCTGCTCTGTATTTGTGCTGTTCTTTATGAGTTGAAGCTATACTCCCTGCCATATGCTTGTTTAATGTATTGACAATGCTAGAAGTGATGCATCTCTCCTCACTTGCATCCTTCTTTGTCCCCTTATAAATGCACTGGTGCTCACTGGCTCCTTTCAACTGATTCTAGTTTGAGAACGTGCCAGAAAAACTAATCTAGACAAAAAAAAGCCCAAGCTAGTGCACTTACTTGAAGCTGATAGGCTGTTATCAGCGCAACAAAATCTCTGAGAGCATCAGCCTTGATACAATGGTAGGCTTGAGGCCCCTGTTGCCGTTAAGTCAGCTCAGGTGTGGTAAGGCAGTTTAATTTCCGCTTGCCTCAGGAAGGGTGCATACTTTCCATACCTAGGAGAGGAGAAAGCAGCAAGAGATGTCAATGAAAACACTAGGAAAAGTTTTCTGTGTTTGTTGTGGTGGTAGCCTGTGAGCCTTATCCTGCAGTCCAGTGGGAGCAGAACAGCCAGCAAAGCAGAGAGTTTAAGCTCTGAAACCATTTGAAGTCTGTATCTATAAAGGCTGTAACTTTTGCATGTTTATAACTTTGCCAAATTAGTATCTTTCCTATTATTTCTCTGACATCTGGTGACTTCAGGTATTCTGTTTTCTTCCTACAGACTGTTGTTGAAGGCTTACCTCTGAAATAGATAAAATATCGTAGAATTCTAGCATTGTTTGGGTTGGAAGGGATCTTACAGATCATCTAGTTTCAACCCCCTGCCATGGGCAGGGACACCATCCACTAGACCATGTTGCTCAAAGCTCCACCCAGCCTGGCCTTGAAATATGTTCTTATTCTTTGCAGGAATCTGAAATCCTCATTTTACCAGAAATGGAGGCACCTGCAAGCAACACAACCAGCCCAGAGGGTGAGAACTCTGATGAGAGCCCAGAAGACCAAGTGCAAACCAGTGTTAACCTGGAAGTGAAAAACACCTCATCAGAGGAAAATAGCATTGCACTCTCTGAGCGGGGCACCAGCCTGTGTGGCATGAAGTGCCAGCTGGAAAGTTGCTGGAGGAGGATTGCTGAGTCCTCACTACCACCAAAAACTGGGCAGAATCCTGCTTTTCATCAGAATGCCCCGTCTAATGGCCCAAGTGTTAGGATGCCAGCAAATCGTATGGTAAGTGTGCATGTGTGAAGTTATCATTGTATTTCCTCTGATAGGTGTGGAATCTTACTCAAGTTCTTAACTATTCTTTGAGTCATAGATGCTGTTTGCATGCAGAATGATAGGGAAGAGAAGGCTTTGTATTAAGGATGTAATAGAAAGTATGGGAAGTGATACCTTGGGAAAGTAAACTTCAATCCCTCATTTAATCTGCGCTGCTTTTCTCATCTCCTTGATCAATATTTGTTCACAAGGTATTCTTCTGCAATAGCAGCAAATGTGTTGCCTTGTTGCTTCCCTTTGGAGCTAGTAGCATAGCTGTTTTAGACTGCGATTTGCTTTATTCAAGTACTTTCAGCTGTGCTGTGACATCTGGCCCCCTGCCCCTTATTGGCGTGTGTGCTGAGGAAGTAAGCTATCAAATAGCTCAGGAATAATCATGAGTGAAGTGCTCTGATATGCTGGAGTAATGGTCCAACTTTGCGTTACAGATACGAGAACCACAGTGTCAAATAATTGTTAAAGATCTCTCTCAAAAAGGTGAGTATTCCTTAAATTGGCAGTACTTGGAATTTGGTTTTTTCCTGTTGACTTTAGTCTACTTCAGGAGTAGTGTAGGGAGGCCAATGAATATTGCTTAAAGCTATAAGTCTTTCAGTTTATTGTAAAATATGATGAAACACGATTATTACTACATTTGAGAGAGGCTGTAATCCCTGTGGTCAATTGTTCTACTTTATAAAGCATGGCTTTTCTGCACAGGAGTATAGTGCAGTCATGCTTTTAAGAATAAGAAAGGTACAAAATTTTTGTGTGTTTTAAACAAGTCTGCATTGCAGCAGTGCACTCTGCCCTAATGAGTGGGGTGTAGGTCAGAGCAGGACATCTTTCTGTCAAATGTCCGCTCACATTGAATCCCCATACATTTATCTCTACCCAGCAAGTTGGTGTGCTGGATCTCCAAGCAACAGGTTTCGCTCATGCTGATCTTGGCATGGCAAACCTAACCAGTAACATACTGAAATGGTTAAAGCCTACTGCTGAGTAGGCGTATTACGCTTAAGTGGAGATGGGCAGGACAATGAAAGCTTCCTCAAAACCAGCTCTACTGAATGGTGTCTTGTCTTAAGAGACTACTTTTGCGCTATGTAGACTGATGCTTTTGTCTTCTTTCAAGACCATTCAGTAGGAAACCTACTTGTCCCACAGGTCCTAGACCTGGCCTTGCTGGTGCTGTTTGGTCTGTGCATGTGTTGGCTGAAAATTAATGGGAAAGCAGGTACCTTAGCTATGAAAAAAGTCTGTATTTTAAACCCTAAGCTGATGCGTGTTGTGTGTTTTTTCTTTCAGAACTGAGTGATAGCTTTTTGGTCTTTATAAAAGAAGTGCCACAGAAGAAATGGAAGCAGTTTATGAGAAAACATCTGGAGGAAAATTCTATTAATAGAATTATTCATAACTTTCCTAATGATATAGAAGAGCAATCTTACCAGATGCTTCTCCTCTGGAAAAACACACTGGGGGAGAAACAGTGTATTATTAAGCTACTGGATGAGTTAAGGCAAGTAGATACCAGGGTTTATCATAATGTATTGAACACTTTAAAAATTAAGAATATTATAAGTAAGTTAGAACCTGCAGATTAATATTTACAACTAACTTGGAAAATGTTCTTTTGTACATATATACGTCTACAAACTTCCTTTAAATGAGGACATCAACAAACTGCTAGGAAAAGCGGTGGCATGGACTTGATATCGTCCTCACCTTCCCACGGGGAGCTGGAAGTGCTGTAACACTGTCGGTGTTAACACGGACTCTGGTTGTGATGTTCACTTAAGGTCTCTTGAGTTGTGTATTAAGCTCAGGCGCCAGATGCCAGCTTGGGAGCGAGGAGTTCCCACTCGTGTTTCCCTTTGTGTGAGGCAGGACCATGCTTTTTCGAGAGCAGGCAGTAGGAGCGAAGAGGCTGCTGCCGTTTCTGAGAAGATCGCCATGCTTTGTTTTCCGGAACAAATCTGTTTCGCTTTGTACTGGCATGCTCGTAACTGTTACGTTTGAAGCCCAGCAATAAAAGCCTGACTGCGCCAGAAGCTGGGGTTGTCTCGGACCTTCTTCTCTGAGGGCGGGAGGTGTAGCGAGGGGAGCCCGGCTGTGGTAAACTCCCGCGACGCAGCGGCCGCCCAACGGCCGCCCTCTTGGCGGGAAGGCGGTGTGAGCGCGGTGGGGGTGGGCGGTGCTCCCCCGTTGCCGTGGTGACGCGATGCGCC